TTGTCAGCACCACGCTCAGCCAGTGAGCGAACCGGCCATCCCTATGTGGGATCCGAACCTGGGGCCTTGGTGTTATTAGCACCGCACTCTACCGAGTGAGCCACAGGCCGGCCCTGGTAAGGGGATCTTAACCCTTGACTTGGTGTTGTCAACACCACGCTCAGCCAGTGAGCTAACCGGCCATCCCTACATGGGATCCGAACTCGTGGCCTTGGTGTTATCAGCACTGCACTCTCCCGAGTGAGCCACGGGCCGGCCCTAAATGAAATATTTTAAACAAAATAAAAATTAAAGATTATACATTCTGTGTTAAAAAGAAGAGGGCTGCTCCCTGTATATGGACACAACATGATTTCCAATATAACTGTTACTTAAAAGAAAGCAAGATACTGAAGAATGTGTGACGTATGCTAATCATTTCTGTAAAATATATAAATACCTCTCTCTCTCTCTCTCTCTCTCTCACACACACACACACACACACACACGATTATCTGTTATTAAACTATCTTTAGAAGGAAACAAAAGAAAACAGAACTAGAGAGTTGCTTTGGAAGAGAAAGGGGTAGCTGAGGGACATGGTCAGAGTGAAGATGATTTTGCAATACACACTTTAGTACCTTTTACATTTTAATCTGAATTCAGATTACCATGTGCATGAGCTATCCACAGGAGGCAAGGTGAAAAGCAAAGCTCTGGAGTCTAACCACACGAGTTGAGTCTTGGCTCTCAATGTATTTACTGTGACCTTGGATATGCTACGTAATTTGTGCTTCAGTGTTCTCATGTGAATATTATTAACAGGTATATTGAGAGTAACTACACTGTTAAGTTGTTTTAAAGATTAAATGAGATGGTACAGGTTATGCACTTTAAAAAATGCCTGGGCTTGTTTTTCTTTTTCTTTTTTTTTTTTTTTATTGTTTTTGCAGCTGGCTGGTACGGGGTATCCGAATCCATGCCCTTGGTGTTACAACTCTAACCAACTGAGCTAACCTACCAATACCTGGGCCCATTTTTCTAAATAAAGCTTTCTTGGAAAACGTGCACATGGGCGGGTGCGCGCATGCGCGCGTGCGCGCGCAAACACACACACACACACACACACACACACACACACACACACAAAGTGACTGGTACATAATCAGCTATCATTATTATTATTCAAAAATTTAACACAATAAAATACTTTAAAAAGTAGCCTTTCCACTAACCAAAGGAAAAGGAAGGCTTTAGAGTCAAACTGCCTGGGGTACAAATCCTGGCTCTGTCACTTATTTGTTGTATATCTCAGTTTCTTCATTTGTGAAACAAGGAAGTAATAGTTTCTATATCCTAGGATTACTGTGAGAATTAAATAATTCACATAAAGTATTTAATACAATAGCACAAAATAAATGCTTAATGCATTCTGCTGTGTGTATGTGTTTTTAAATGAATAGCCATTCCTAAGGCTTAAATATAATCTCCATACTGATAGTTCTTTATCTGCAGGCTGACCCTCTCCTTTGGGCTCCAGATTCTTCCTCAAGATACATTCTCCCTAAGAACCCTTGGACTTCTCAGGCTTCTCCCATCACTTTCAGCCAAGAGAAAGACATGCTTTCCACCTTCAGTCTATAATAATCCCCCACCCCTGCCACAACCCCAACTCAGCATCCCCATTTCAGTAAACAGTGCTACTGCCCACCCACCTGTTCCATCAAGAATCCTAGAAATCACCTTGAATCCTCTCATCCCTCACAACCCTCTTCTGGTCTATCGGCTAGTCCCTCCCAACAGTTCTACCTCTGAAATATTTCCCTAAATCAACCACAGAGGTATAAAGCACTGCAACAACTACACCCTGCTCCTATCCACGTGCCAATGTCCATATGATCATGGCACTCCCTGATTCAATCTCCAGCCCAGGTTCTCCCCACTTCTCAGACTCAAGGCCCAACTCCTCATCAACACCTGCAAGAAAACCATGATTAGAAGACCAGCTCTCCTACCCAGGCTCCTGTCTCTCTCTCCCTTACCCTAGCCACATCAGTCTAGGCTCCTGGAGGAGACCCAGCACTTTCCCACCTCAAGGCCTTTGCACGTGTTGTTCTCTCAGCCTGGAAGGCTCTGTCTCGCTACTCTTCCCATAGCTAGCTTCTTCTCATTTTCCAGAGCCTAGCTGACATGAGACTTAAAGAAGTCAAAAGGAAAGAGAAGCCAGAAAGGAAGGAACTTGAAGAGGTGAACAGCTGAGAGTGTCAACCATGAAAAGGGCACTGAGAGCCCAAGGGCATGGCAGGGAGAGGCTTTGCGAGAGGTGATGGGGGATGTGTGTGAAAGAATAAGGGGCTGGAGAAGGGCATTGGGACAAGATGGGTGGGTACAGTGACAAAATGGGGGAGGAGGCATTACAGTGACAGGCAGGGACTAAGTGAAAGTGACAGACTGAAAGCTGGAGGTGACAGGGCAGGGGATCAGTAACAAACTGGGAGCAGTCAGTAACAAGTGGGTAGACAATGCAGGTAGGTAGGCTGCAAGGACACATAGCAGCACGTGGGGGAACCATAAAGGGCGCCAAGTAAGGTGCATGGGGGAAGGCGACAGGTGTGAAAGAAAAGAGACTGGGGATGGAGGAAGGAATGGGGCAATGTGAGGTAAGGAGAGAGGCCAGGAGCACGACAGAATGGCGGTCGGAGGCTGGTGATGTCTGGAGCTGTAATGGGGTGTGACAGGAAACTGAAGCGGTGATGGAAAGGGGAGCCCAGTAACAGAAAAAGTAGTTAGTGACTGGACAGCAGGAGTGGTGACCCTGGGCACTGAGAGGGAAGTGCCTCACACTGACAGGCAGGAGAGGAGCACCGGGAGGACACTGACAGGTGCGGTTACTAACAGCAGGGCAGGGCAGGGCAGTCATAGGAAGGGTCCCTAACAAACGAGAGGTGACGGAGGACACTGACAGGAAGAAGGCACTGGCTTCAAGAGAGGACTGAGTGGGGGGCAGTGCCTTGACAGGCCTGACATGGGGCACTGACACTGAAAAGGAGAGGGACCTTGACAGGCAGCGAGGGGGGACACACTTATGGGGGAGCACACTGACAAGGGGAGCACTGACAGGTGGGAGGATCACTGAAAGGGGGTCACAGATGGGTGGAACTAACAAGGAGGGCACTGGTGGGAGGGGGCATTGACTGACAGGGGGACACTGATGGACAGGAGGGGGCACTGAAAGGAGGGGGCCACTGAGAGGAAGCGGGAATGACAGGAGGGAGGAAATGACAGGAGGCGACAATGACAGAAAGGGGGAATAACAAGAGGGGGCACTGAGAGGAGGGGGGATGACAGGAGGGGACACTGACACGAGAGAATGACAGGAGGGGACACTGACAGGAGGGGGAATGACAGGAGGGGACACTGACAGGAGGGGACTGACAGGAGGGGGAATGACAGGAGGGGACACTGGCAGGAGGGGGATGGGAAGGGGGGGGGGGGGGGGGGGGGGGGGAGGGGGGGGGGAAGGGCAGGGGGGGGTATGACAGGAGGGGGAATGACAGGAGGGGACACTGGCAGGAGGGGGATGGGAAGGGGGGGGGGGGGGGGGGGGGGGGGAGGGGGGGGGGAAGGGCAGGGGGGGGTATGACAGGAGGGGGAATGACAGGAGGGGACACTGGCAGGAGGGGGATGGGAAGGGGGGGGGGGGGGGGGGGGGGGGGAGGGGGGGGGGAAGGGCAGGGGGGGGTATGACAGGAGGGGGAATGACAGGAGGGGACACTGACAGGAGGGGACACTGGCAGGAGGGGACACTGGCAGGAGGGGAATGAGAGGAGACACTGACAGGAGGGGGAATGACAGGAAGGGACACTGACAGGAGGGGGAATGACAGGAGGGGACACTGGCAGGAGGGGGAGTGACAGGAGAGGGAGTGACAGGAGGGAGAATGACAGGAGGGGGAATGACAGGAGGGGACACTGACAGGAGGGGGAATGACAGGAGCGGGACACTGACAGGGGGGGG